AAATAATAAAGCGCTGTAAAACTTAAAACAAAAATTCAGTTTTCTCCAAATTTCAGTTGTGTTGTCGTAACCCCTAGACTTCTCAAGTGCCACTAAGGGTATTCATACCACTGGTTGAGAAACACTGGTCTATATGATCAGACCCTTAAATACAAAGCTGTTTAAGGGCCAATTCTAATGCATGTTTGAAGTCCCTGGGAGTCTTTCCATTCATTTGGATCAAGTCTTTAGTTATTTTTTTACATGGAGTAGCTTGCAAAGAGAACTGGGAGTATGATGGCTGCTCTGTACTCAATAATTAATTGATTGATAAATAACCCAATCAATTAACCAAAGCAAGCAAGCTACATTACAAAGACTCTCTAAAACTGAAGGCTATTAATTACACTGGCATAGTCAATATGCAGACGGACAGTGGACCAAATCCAGACCATCAGATGCTTTTGAATAGATGACAAGATCTTTTTGTTTATTTTAATAACAATAACTATAATTTTTGTATTATTTTCTATAGAGTCTGGACCCTGGCTGTTCTTTAACCAAGAAGTTTGGACCTTGACAATAATAATTAATTACCTTGGAATTACAAATCTCAATATCTCAGTTTGCAGACTTGAATATAACCATAGGCTATGCAAATTTTGAAGTGCATTGAAGATTCTTTAGACTGGATTAGCATAAAATTCATTAGTGAGACATGCCTGAAATGAGGGAAAAGCCCTTATTCTCTTGGGTGACTGAAATATGAATAGAGTACTGCCTGAATTAAGTTTAACTTGCTCATTTTCAACCTGCTTCATTTTTTCCCCATCTGTTCCCCGTAATCAGTATTTTAATAAAAAGAGCCACTGGCAGGCAAGAGTGTTTAAAACAGGTTCAGTTCGTTTTATTTATTACCCAAGACAAATTTTCTGCAAAGATAAAAAGAGGTTTGTTTACAAATGCTTCTTGGGCAGCAGCAGTATGAGTTTTTCCCTTGAAACGTGGCGGATATCTACAATGAATGTGACACCAGCTTCAATTTTATCATTAGGAAATAGAACATGCTGAGATTAATGCTCCTGTTTTCAGAGTTTAATAAAATATATCTCCCAGTATAAGCTGGCTGTGACAGTATCATAGCTGAGTTGAGCCGGCAATGTACTCTTTTTAATCTTACAGTTGAAAAATGCTTGCTTACTGGGCCGACACAGAATGCCAGAAGGCCGGTGTTGTGCCTCCTACATTCAGAAGATTGATGCAGCCCCCAATGTCATTAATAGACTGGGGATTCTAAGTGCCAGGAGAGGCAGCAGGTGTCATTGCTTGAGACTGGAAATTTGCTTCTCAAAGCAGTTGATCACTGCGATGAGAAGCTTTTTATTTTGCACATTGCTGGAGCAGTACTGTGTATTGACACATCTCTGGCAGCCTGCTACAGCTTGCAATGCTTGCTTTGAACCCAGCTGCAAAGAAGTTGGGAGCATGGAGAGGGCAATAAATGTATGTAATAAAAACATGCCATATCCCATGGAGTGGGCTGGGATTGTTGCTCTCATAGTTTTGGGAAGTGAGGCTATCCATAATATGGGTAATAGGCATCTTCCCTTGCCACCTTGGTGTCCTTCCTTTGAACTAGAGAAAGGAGAGACTCTTCAGACTTTTTCTGGA